AGGAGTTTAGACTATATCTCACACGGAGTATGTAATGTAGACGCGTGAATAACTACCAATATGATGGCCTTGGCTATCTCACATAGACCTCAGAATAACGTTAGTAGTTGTTTGGGCCCCTACAGTAATTAACGTTTTTTTGCCTACAATGAGCCAATGACATATACACATTTGGATTTCCCAAACTCATTTGACGAGGATTCCCTATGGTGGGGCTGCTATACATATAAATATATACATGTATCAATACGGATGGCTGTATAGATTTCCCCCCTTTCAGCGAACAATGGTTTACCCCAGGTCCCATTTAGCATCCCACCTAGTGAATATAGGCCCTTTGCCTTTCCTGGGGAATTTTAGAGGTATACATACATACAGATACGAATGTATGTATACCTCCCTAAACCTTAAACCTTAAACCCTAAACCCTAAACCCTAAGCCCTAAACCCTAAACTCTAAGCCCTAAACCCTAAACCCTAATCGGCCCTAAACCTGTATGAATAGAATTATGCGTGGATGTACGAATTATAAAGTGATATGCAGACTTTGGATGAAGGACCCTAAACCCTAAGGCCTCTACCCTAAACTCTAAACTAGGGTTTAGGGGTTTAGGGGTTTAGGGTTTAGGGTTTACGGTTTAGGGTTTTGGGGTTTAGGGTTTAGGGGTTTAGGGGTTTACTACAGTCCCCCCTTAAGTAGAAGGGTTATATTGGGGTTAAAAAGGGATAATGGAAAAGAACACGGAAACTACAATTTAGGGTTTGGGGTTTAGGGTCCCCTTCAAGTAGATAAAATATGGCCTTGGGTATATTATCATAAGATCCCCATATACGCCATATTCTAACTACTTCCGGGGGACTAGAAACAATTCTTAGAAGCTTCAAGGGTTTTCCCTTCACCAGGTTGACGAGGACACCCCTGCCACACCAGGGTACGATCTTTACAACGAGGCTGGGATAAGTAGTGGTGGCAAAGTAGGCTTACCTCCGCTTAGCAAGGAAGGAAGGTATGAACAAGAAAACGGAAACTGTCACATTTTTGGGGACAAACATAGTGGCTACTATAAGGATCCGTTCAATCATTCCGTGCTAGTGAGTGGAGGCACCAAGCTGCTACTAAAGATCCCAACAGAGAGACAGCATGCCTTCTGCACCTCCGCAGCCCTGGAAATTACGGTGTTTAGGGTTCAAGGGTTTAAGGGCTGCCAAGCCCTGGAAATTAGGGTATCACCTCCAATGTGGTCATGGACCATACGTCCTGCTCCAATCTGCTTTGGGTACGTCCTGCGTGTGATGTTGAGACGTTGGAGCTTCGATGATAGTAAGTCCGATTCATGGCTTAGGGTTTAGGGTTTAGCGTTTGGGGTCATATTGCAACTCTATGCCCTGAACCCTGAACCTCAAATCGACGAAGCCTTGTCCTACGGGGTTTAGTTTGAAACCTGAAGAGAAGTATATGAGCTACTTGTCATTTTTGGGGCTACCAGGGGACCATTAGGAGTGGATACAGGGATTGCTCGTTTAGTATATAGTATAGTTCATCCCCTAATAGGAACCCATGTCCATGAACCCGAAACAAACTGGTTGTCTGTGGGGCGTGAGGGAACAGGATCCCTACGCACAATCCCCATACCAACCCTTTTAACCCCAGTTTCCGTTTTATTTTCCATTTTCCATTCGACTCTCAAGTCTTCTATTTATGCAAAACTTTGAACCCTAAACCCTAGATGATGTAGTTTCCGTTTTCTTCACCTGACGCCCTTAACCCTGTGCCCTAAGCCCTACAATAATTCAGGCCCCTACGTGAAACCCTTTAGTTTAGAAGGCCATCCCGATGGACGTCTTCATGAACTGCGAGGAGACAAGCCGTGCATCCCAAAACCCTAAATCCTAAACCCTGGGGAATATAACACCAATATAACACCAATGTAACCCCTATATAGCCCGTTATAGTTACAATATATAGTAGTTTCCATTTTCTTTTCCATTATCCCTATGTAACCCCTATAAAACCTATTATACTATATAGTAGTTTCCATAATCCTAAATCCGGAGCCGCGCATGTAATGTCGGGATGTTTCACTAAAGGGGCCCTAAGGGTACCGGCGGAGTGTGAGGGCTTCGTTGGGGTCTCTCTTTCGGATTGTATAGGGGTGATTTGATGTTGGGGGCTTGCATGCTTGCCGATCTTTTTTCTCATTTTCCTATGCATATTCTTTCCCACAACCCGAATGCTAGCTTGTATCATCTGTATCTATGGGGTGCTTGCAATTTGACAAACCTCAAGTGAGTCGCATTTTATTTGAGTACCATAGCCCGGAATATAGAGTCAGATTTACTTCTGTCGGGCAGGGTAACTTTAAAAGAAGAATACAACCTTACAAGGTCCAGCCCGAAACAAAACGCAACTCAAGTGTAGGACACCATTTGATTAGATCCCAGGTCTTGAGTTGGTTTAGGTTTTGGGGTTTTGAAGTGCAGTGTCCCCAGTCGTTTAGAGCTGAGAGCAGCAGCGGTAGCTTGCTTTGGACATTGCGCCCCTCACTGACACTTGGATAATGATTATATTCTACTGTGATGAAACAAAGCTCCGAACCCTAAACCCGAAACCCTAAGCCCTAAACCTTAAACAGTCACTATTACATACTATTACAAACGGCTACTGGGTGCCAGCTTTAGTCTGAGGGCCTCTGTAGTTTAGGGTTTTGGGCGCGGCTGCATGGTTCGCTTTTGTGGAAAATGCGGGTTGCGGAAACAACACACGGACCTAAGAGTTCCGCACACTTTGTTTCTAGATTGTAGGAATTGTAGAACCCACATGTAGGAATTGCGCAGGAACGATGTTAGCACTTCTTTCGTTTCCGGTGGCAGTAGGAGGATTGTTTCAAGGTTTGAAGATGAGCTAAGCAGTTGTTTGCGCATTTTGCGGTTTCTTGCAGTGCACGAGCCTCTAGGTTCTTCTTGATATGCAGGACCATACGCAAAGGACGGCTGATGGTGTACCTGTCACCACCTCAAATTTCAGAATGCATCTGCTGTGCGGGTTTAATTTCCTGGAGCATGCGGCATGTCTCGGTTCCGTTTCTTGAGGAGCAAAGGGGGTCATCCTAAACCCAAAACCCTAAACCCAAAACCCTAAACCCAACACCCAAAACCCAAAACCCTAAACCCAAAACCCTAAACCCTAAACCCAGATGAATCAGGACTGCTTGATGTTTTGTGTCAGGTCCTGGACCTCCTGGACTCCGACGATGAGGCGGGTTTGAAGTCATGTATTTAGGGTTCAGGGTACAGGGTTTAGGGTTCAGGGTTTAGGGTTTAGGGTTGGGTCTCTGATCTAGGGATATATGACAACAACCTAGCTCCTGAAAGGGGGTCCTGCAGGGGATTATCTAGGGGATTACTCTTGGTAGATAGGGGTCTGCAGGGTTGTGTAGGGCTACATAGGGGCATATGGGAATAGTGGAGGATGATATGGAACAGGCAATGAGATGGAGTTTTACCTCACCTCCTCGTTTGACCTGGAGCCCGAAGAAGAACCAAAGCAGAGAGAGCCCGGCCGGCACGTGGAAAATCCGTGCAGGCTCTGCCCTACTTCCGTCGAGGTTCCCCCACTTGCAATCCTTCAGGACCTATAGTCCCCCTTCAGTAGATAGAACATGGGGTATATGGGGATCTTATTACTATACCCAAGGCCATATTTTATCTACTTAAGGGGGACTACATCCCCTTGCAATTCCATCTGTTCCTAGGGTCCCTTGAAAAGGATACCCCAATCTTCAGAAACCCTAACACATGGGGTTGATCTAAAGGTCCTTTGGAGAAATGGTTTTGGAGTTCTATAAAGAAAATCTAGAGATGATTTTCCGTGATGACCGTTTTGGGAGCAGGAATTTTGATCAACTACCGTATGCCTACAAGCCCTCTACTTTCAGGGACGCAACCCTAAACCCTAAACTAGACCTTATATAATTCTGTTTATAACCCCCTTTAAGGCCCTCATCTAACGGTCATTTACGAGCGCTCCCTTGCGAGGCCGATCCGGCCCTGACCGAGTCTGGATCTCATTCTGAGGGGTCACCCGAAACATCCCAATACTACAGTGACTTGGGTTAGGGTTGGGGGTTTAGGGCCGACAAGCCCGCCGACGGTCAGATAATCAAATCAGCAAATTGACGCACTGATAAATCGGCAGACAGAGAAGCCGAAAAAACCGAGAGATCATGCGATTGACAAATTGACAAATCGACGCACAAACAGTCCGATATACCGGCAGCCTCGCCGATGGCGATGGATCGATTGATTGTAAGATATAATACAATGATCGACCGAGGGACCTTCTTTTCCAGACCGCTTGACAGATAACGTGATAGACTGAAAGAACGACTTACAAATGGACAGACAGACTTCAGAGAATGTTAGACCGAAAGAAGAATGAGAGACCGACCGATTCGACAGAAGATGGACGGTCAGACCGACAAACTGACAGATCGACTGACAGATTCGTAGACCCACACACCGTGAGACTGACAGACGGACAGACCAGAGATTGGGTTTAGGGTTTTAGGGTTTTAGGGTTTAGGGACGACATGGGTCATTCCCCCATCACGGTAACAGTCCTTAACAGGGATTCCTTACTGGGGCTATATACTTTAACTCCTATTAGCCATGGTGGTAATGGTGGAATAGCGGAAACAATCATGGGTCTAGGGCTTTGGAGTTTAGGGCTTATGTATAGATTCAGAGTCTGGGGCTGAAGGCTTATGGGGGTAGGGTCGAGGGTTTAATGTTCGGAGTTGGAGGGCCTTGGCGTTTGTTTTGGGGCTGTGGCTTAGGACGGAAAATGTGGGTTGTTTCAGAAACATCTAGGGATCACACATGGAACAGGAAGGGCCGTTGCTCTTCATGCATGATGCGGCCTAAGGTTTCGGAGGTCAGGGTTAAGTTCCCTCCAAATGAAAGGCTTCTTCCGGCTGCGCCTCCGTATCACCCTCACTATCACCACCAAGACCACCATCATTAGCAGTGCCCTCCCCCAAACCCTAAACCCCTTATCACCATCATCATGATGACTCACAGCGTCTGGGTTGAGGTATCACCCATCAGCCATTCAGAGTGGACCGCCTCCTCATGTGGTACTTCTCCTGAACAGAGGGACACCAATATAGACCCCAAAATACTACAATCCTTATGAAAGGGACACCCAAGAAGGTATCCCTAATTTTGGGAAGCCCTAAACCCTCTTTTCAACCGCTATAAAGCCCTTCAAAGGCACCCCTGATTTTGGGAAACCTCCCATGCAGATTCGTCAGTCAGGCTCTGACCTTCTGACATGGCGCTGCAGAAGCAGGATATCCGGGACGCGACCTGCAAGAGGCGCTGCACCGCATACCGTTTAACGACAAACTGTTTGCACATTGAGCTATAGTCTAAACTCCATAAGAGGGTTATATAGGGGATTACATAGGGGACTATTATGGGGGTTGCTTGGGGGGATACGAAGAGTTTGTTTGTGGCTCATTTGACAGAAGCATCTGGAGATCGGGGACAGATCTAGACCTTGAGCCAGGCCACCCCTAGGCGTATCAATAAAACCTATCGTTATAAGAGTAGATTTGGAGATTATAATAGTAGTAGTTTCCATTTCGTTTCCAATATCCCAGTTTACTTTAATAGGTTATAATAGGTTATGGTGTATTATAGTATAATCGGGATTATTACAGGGATCCACTCCGCCAGTCCCTTAGGCACCAGTAAGCTTAAAGGCAGGAACAGCTTGTACCACAATCAGGTTTTGCTGTCTCGGGTCGCCTCCAAGAAAGGATGTACAGAATGTTGTTGGCCCTCTTTAACCATGATGGTCCTAGGTCAAATACTTTTAACATCAGGTTGCATAGCATGATGCGGATGCAAATGTAGCAAATCAGTGGGTTTCCTCCTATGAGCTATAGTCTAAACTCCTTAACGGGGGTTATATAGGAGATTATATAAAGGGGACTATTCCAGGGCAGATGCGAGGAGATTTTAATCTAGCTCATTTTGGCATTTTGCGTAAGTTAACTACGTTTGGGTGGAGCGGAGTGCTCAAAAACAGCTTGCATGACAGGAATCCAACATCCTCCCAGAGGTGCTCAAGGTGTTGCAGAAGATCGAAGGCCGGTTTCAGGGTTTAAGGGTTGAAGGGTTTAAGAGTTCAAGGGTTGAGGTTTTGAGGGCTTAAGGGCGCAAGGGTTGACGGCTTTAAGGTTTATGACGGATTACGGATGTTTACGGATTCAGGGTTCAGGGCTTTGGGTCTTGGTCTTCTCCATGGGGACCCCTGGACTTTCGGGGGATTGACGGTTGTGGAAATGAGATAAGGGTTTGCGGTGTAGGGTTCAGGGTTTAGGGTTTACCGTAACCCTAGACCCTAAACCGGGGCCCGGCTTACTTAAGGATTATTGAGGGTGATTAAGCTGGGAAGCTCCGAGATGCATCGATTGTTTGGGTTAGGCCCCCCACCCACTTAGGGTTTAGGGTTTAGGGTTTAGGGTGGTATACTAGGAATATATAGAGGGCCTAATATCATTGCCATTATGTCTTGTGGTGACTATTAAATAGTGGGTGGGGGCCCAACCTAAGCGATTGTCGTTGTTCTGCGAGTTTCCCAAAGTTGTCCCTTACTTAATCCAGATTGGAGTTTTATGGCTTTACGATTGTTTACCATTCTAAGAATTAAAGAGCACTTCTCATTCATGGCCCTATCCCTTAACCCCTAAACCCTAAACTCCTAAACCCTAACACCTAAACCCTATTCCTTCTACAGTGCTTTGTGAATATCCTTAGGCAGCCCCGGAATCCTTACCTGACCCAATCCCTAATGAGGACTTCCCCCTTGCCATGCCCTCTCTCGGCTCGGATACTGGGTTGTTATTCAGTTACTTTAATAAGGAAACCCCATGACCCCATGATTTACTGCATACCCATATTATGGTAGCTTAAGTTGGTTAACAGCAGCCCAGGGTTATAGTCCATTCCCCCTAGCATCACTTGCATGCGTAGAATTTTCAATGGGGATCTATAATCCTTGAGATGCAGGAAGTATACATTCCATTTTCGGCTGTAGATTTTCTCAGGACGAATCGTGTCTCAAATGGTTCAAGCACCAGAAAGAATGATTCTGAATTGTTCTCAATGGTCCAAGCATGATTTTGTCGGAGGTAGAAGAGATACAGCAGCTTCAGAATTTGAGCACATCTCTGCACTGAAATACCCTAAACCCCTATGTCCCGATCTCTATTGGTGCCACATCCATTCGCCTTTCGAATCTCCTAGATCTGCAGAGCAGAGTTCATGGATAGGCTCTGACGGTGAGCCTCCTTGAACCTTGAACAGCACGTAGTCACGTAGTGTACTGTGGACCCTAAACCCATACAGGGGGATCATGTAGGGGAATATCATAGGAGATATTAATGGGGATGCTAGGAGTTTAAACCCTGGCATTGAAACACCAAACCCTAAGCCTAGTCTTACTTGTGAGATTCTTCTTCTCATGCTTAGGTGGGAATGGGGTAATGGAGCCCTTACATCATCATATAGTTGCCTAGAGTTACTCCTGTTATAGTCCACATAACTTGGCAACGGCCTGCTTTGCATGATGACAGTCCCCAGAATCTGTAATTGTTGGCAATCCCTATAGGAAGGAGCATAGAATTTTGAGAGTTTACATTGGGGCCTCCTTATGTAGAGAAACTGCAAGATAAACCTTGTCCCTTCAACTCTACTTATTAGTTTTTAGCAGTGAACAGAGACATGGAAAAGTCCCAAGGAAACTAACTTCATATTTGGGTTCAGGGTTTAAGGCTTTGCTCTTACTTCTGGTTAGCAGGAAATGAAGGAAGAGGATATAGGTGATATGGCAATTATGACCTTCCATGCGATATTGCAAAATGTGGCGGCTTTCAGGACTACTGGAGGGACCCATTCCTTCAGAATCACCAGTGAGTCGCTCCTCATAATATTTGTGCTCCAAAATGTGACACTCGATCAAACATCTGAAGGTCAAAGCCTACCTTTTGGTCGCTTCTTTGTTTGAACATTCCCCGCGCTGGATCCCCGAACCCTAAACCCCTTCAATCAAGCCAAGCGCATCTGCTCAGACTTTGAATGTCCGAAGGCAGCTCCTTCTGTCAGAGCGAGCTACTTTGTTTATATATATATATATGAATGGAGAGGGGCGTTTAGGGTTCGGGGTTTAGGGTTTTAGGGCTTAGGCTGTTCATGGAGAATCCTGCACAAACATGTTGATGCCATAATTCTAAGGATTCAGGCAAAGAAGGGGACTCCATAATGAGGAGCCCCAAGGTGGACCCCAACGTGCCACAATCCTATTACGGGCACTCCAAAACGGGGCCGCTAGTTTTTTGGAAGTCACCAGGCCTAAACCCCAGGATTCATGTACACATCTACATCTATCCCATATACTGTATATTCTGGCCCCTTTAACCCTTATACACCCTCTTGAAGGAGGTAGCCACCACTCCTCAACAGCTGCGGCGCAGCCGCAGCGGCCAAGAGCCTTTGGTGCTTTCAAGCCGCGAAAAGGAGATGACCTCGGTTTCCTCCAGGGCGAGGGGTCCCCTTAACACTGCTGTAGGGGTGAAGTACGGGTATATATATATACATATATAGAGAGAGAGAGTGAGAGTAGGGTTCCAGGTCTAGGGCATTGTTTCCAGTAGAGAGTGAAACAATGGAACATAAAATGGCACATACTATTTGTTTTATTCACATTGAATAGAAGTGGTTCTGAGATGCTATCAGGCATCATTGCTACATTCCCTCCACGGTTTAGTCTAGTGAAAATTGAATTCGTTTTCAAGAATGACCCAGCAAGCCGCAGTTCTCCAACCCTGAACTCCAAACCTCAATCATTTAATCTCAAGCCTCACTACTCGACCTACACCCTAAGTCCTAGACCCAAAACCCTGACACAACTGTTCAGATGTGATGTTACCTGCTCATGCTGACTTGGGGTTGGGAGTGGTCTAGCACAGTAGTCCCTAAACCCTCATCATATGCCCTCCAATAGTCCATATAACCCATTCTCCCATTTCCAACTAATAGGGTTAGAATAGAATGATAGTACAAACCCTAGGAGCAGGGACCTAGACAGTAAGGTACCCTGTCTGCGGGGTGAAGGGCCACAGCAGCCAATTCCGATGCGCATCGAGCTAGATAACCTGACATTCACCTTGCTAAATTTATTCCTAAAAAAGAATCCTCATGATCCCCTGATGATTCCATGTTTTCCTAGGGTCCCTGACGCCCCGAGTATTTCAGAAGGCTCGTTCCCGAGTCTCCAGCAGATCGGCATGAGCAAATTTTCTTGGAGAAGCTAACAGGCTTTAGGATTTAGAGGAGTAGCATGATATGTCACCCCGTGACACTACAAGAATGGTTCTGATCAAGTGCAGTAGCAACCCCGAAAGTGATGCAAATTGCCTAAAAGGAGAAGGGTATGAGGCTTAGAGTTCAGGGTTCAAAGTTCATGGTTGAAGGTTGAGGGCTTAGTGAATTCGGACCTTAACGTGGCTTCCCACTTTACGAGATCCCTATTGCACGCTCCTTTTTGAATCCCAAGTGGCTGCTTTCCTGGCTGGGCAAGGACAAGCCCAAGTTATAACCAGGTAATATCCCAAAGCCTATAGGCCTTTGCGACTACCATGATAAATAACACTTGTAGTTGCCTACCTAGCCACTCTACCCTCAACCCCTGCTTCTCCCCAAACATTAACCCCTGAACCCTAAACCCTAACCAATACCATCCGAGTCATTTTCCATTCTCTTTTCGGCATAATTTTCCACTATCCCTATATCTTCCTATATACCCCCATATCTCCCTACATTTTATATGTCTGCCCATACATCCCTATCGATCCTTAGGAATCCCCTGCCAATTTAGGGGTGGGAACTGCCAGAGCAAATGTCCGCAGCACAGCTTCTACTCTGGCCAAGCTTGGCGCAGGCGTGACTAAACACTAAACACAAAAATTCTGTGTAGGGGGTACTGAAGGGGTTATGGCTGTAGGGGGTAAGGGCTTGTGGGTAAACCCAGGGACCTGGGGGTTTTAACCCATCGGGGTTTAGGGTTTTTGGGGTTAAGCTCGTGAATTTGGGGGTTTAGGGTTGGGGGAGAGGACGCGTGTGTTGAGGGTTCAAAGAATTGCGCACTTGGCAGATCCCTAGCGTTTAGGGTTTAGGGCTCAGGGGCTTCGTAAGTATGGCTCTGAAACTGCCATGCTTCCGAAGACTCAAGACTGCACACCACGCAGGGAAAGATCCATCGAAGGGCACTCTACCTGCCCAAGCCCTGGAGCCTTACTACAAGATACTAGAACATACTAAAAAGTATTATAATATGCTAGAAGCTTTAACCCTCTGCTGACAATGGGATGTGCCAAAGTTGTGATTACGACAGTAGGAATTCTTTTTTCAGGACTCCCGAAATACTGTAGGAGCCAGATTTCCTCAGCTAAAAAGGGAAGACCAAACGGTTTCGGGTTTAGGGCCTAGGGTTTAGGTTACCTTGGGCTTAGGATTTAGTGTGTCATGGTTCGAGGGTTTTAGATTACATCGGCTTGCATGTTTCTTTCGGGGTCGAATGGCCACATCCAAAACTGTGAGCCGCCTCAAAGACCATCATCCTGATTTAGGTTTTAGGGTTTAGTGTAGGGACGATTATGAGGATCTATTCCCTGGTTCCGTATCAAGCACCGGGCAATTATTGCGCGCGTGCGTTTGCAACTATTCATCCTGTGTCTACATAGGCTCTTGGTTTCATGGTCACAGGAAGAACTAAGAACGAGATGGCTTTTGCATGAGTGTGGCTGATATATGCTTCCTTATCTCGATTGTGTAGTGCCACCATATACTAAAGAAAAGTTGATCACTCACCTCCCCCCAAATATCAAAGCTCGTCACCGCTAAATATTGAACACGAGGGCGAGGTGAAGTTTATGTACCAACTAAGGGGCCGTCACTTTTCAGAATCTACCAGCCAGAACCCTATACCCTAAATCCAAAACCCAAAACTTTGCCTAACCCTAAATCCTAAATCTCAAACTTTGCCTAAACCCTCAACCCCTAAACCCCTAAACCCCTAAGTGGTCCCAGGGCTACCTGGGCTACCTGGGCAACCATCCGTCCGAGCCGTTGCTGACGCCAGCAGCGCCCCGCGCAACTCCTAGCTGAGACTCGGCTTGAGATTTAAGGTCTATAGCCCCCCTTAAGTAGATAGAATATGGCTTTGGGTATATTAAGATAAGATCCCCATATACCCCATATTCTATCTACTTAAGGGGAATATAGATTTCTTAAGGTTGCTAGAAAGTTTTTTTGGGTCTAGGCTGTTTTTGGGGGTTTAGATTGCTGACGTTTGTTCTCCAGATTTTGTTTTCTTTCTTTAGGGTGTCGGACCTTCTTCTTTTTGATTTGGGTTCAGGGTGTTTTTAAGGGTTCCTTTGCAGCATGTATAGGGTTCAGGGTGTTGAGGGTGAAAGGTTTAGCAGACGGGCGCAGTTGCTCGGGGGGTTTGTGGCCATTCTTGCTAGCATGGTGCTCCTGATGGGTTTAAAAAGTCTTGCGTTCGTCAGCATTTTAAATTGGTTTCAGGCGCTGACGTGAATCTTGCCCGAACCCAAGCTGACGACGATTTCCGTGCACGAAACTCGTCATGCTTTTTGGCCTCTGTTCTGTGTGAATGTTGCTTCACAGTGCAGAAGTACTGCGCTTGCCATCATTTTGAAGTCTTTTATCTCTTCATCTTTTCCTATCTTTCTGTTTGGTTTGCACTGGACGGCTGCGCCTGAAATCTTTTTTGTGTGTTTCTTGTTTGGGGGCATGGGTGGGGAGGGGCTTGGGACCCAAATCAAGCTGCCCGGCTTGGGGGGGCGGGCCCATGGAGGTTCGGGTGGCACCTTTCCCTTCTCAGATTGACGGGCCCGGAGCGTGGAGCTCTCGCTGAATCTCCCAATGACGTACGCGGAGGGGCGAAGACAAGGTCGGGAGGGAACGTTTCCGTAGGCCNNGAGTGCACCCCAGGTCGTTCCTCACTCATTTACTCACTCACTCACAAGCCTGAAACCTAATCCCGAAACCCTCAACCCTAACTTCATAAATCCTGTTTAAGGGTCAGGGGGACTGAGTAAATACGCATATAACCCCCTAAATATTGCATGTAATAATTCCAGTTATCCCCATGATTAACTTAAGGAGGCCCATGTTTTTGGAGTGTAGTTTGTCTTCATTTTTGTTTCCTGCGTTTCTGCTTGTTTTTTTCTGCTTTGTGCTTTTTGCTTTCTGCTTTTTTGCTTGGTGCTTTCTGCTTTTCCCTTCTGGCTTATTGCCTTCTGAATTGTTTCTGGTTGTTGGGCTTCTTTTTTCTGGCTTTCTGCTGTCAGCTTTTTGCTTCCTGTTTCTTGCTGCCAGCTATCTCTTGATTGCTCATTGCTTTCTGATTTTAGTTTCCTGTTTCTCGTTGACTGCACTCAGCTTCCTGGTCGCTGCTATCAGCGATTGCTGTGTTCTGCTTCTTGTTTTCCTCCTATCTGCTAAGTACCTGCCGTTCATGTGTCACAACGATTCATCATTTTCAACAGCTCCATATTTTGCATCATACTTCAGCAGTTGCCATATTTTCGTCATTTGCATCATTCTCAATAATTTTCATGATTGTTCCCCAAGTTCATATGTGTTCATCGCCCTCCATCCTTCTTTACATGTTTCCATGCTCTGTATGGGTTTCATCCTCTTTGTAATGTTTCACTGGTTTCTATAAGCGTTCATCATCTTCATCACACCCAACCCCCCGCCTTTTTTCAAGGCCGTCCATGCTTGACGACGTCAATTTAGATTATGTCGTGATGTTTTCATCGTTGTTCCCACAGTTTTTCTCATCATATGCATCATGTTTCATCCTTATGATTTGTTGTCATACGTTTTCAACGGCAAGGGCAAGCATGGCAAATCCGAAGGCAAGGGCATTCCCGAACCGCATCATGGTGATGCCGCCACTGGTGCAGCTGCCTCTCCGAAAGGGAAAGGCAAGAACCATTCCAAGGGTAAGCAGGGCAAATCTTCTGCCTCCGAGTGGGTCGAGGTCCGATGGAAGGTGCGACCCTCTGACTTGTGTTTCGATGAAGCTTTTTTCGATGAGGAGTCCCTGGCAGTCCATCTTGACTTGGACGATGGACCAGCGCTGGCCCAAGCCGACGACGAGAAGACCCTGGTGGATCTTTTCTCCATTCTCAAGGGTGGCTGTGATAAGAACTCCTTGCTGATCTTCACTGGACCCTGTGGCCCGGCCCTCGAAGATATTCAGCAACGCCATCCAGTCAAGATGAAGTACCTGCCTGGAACTTTGCGTGATGTTGGGTGGTTGGACTCAATCCTGATGAGCCCGACTTTGAGCTGACCATGGCACCTGAGGCTGATGCGGTGAGCACGCCCAAGCCCCAGCAACGATACAATGCAGCTGACACCGTGGTGCTGAGGGCTGCAGCTGCTATGCGCTTTCTGGAAGCTGATCAATGGAAGAAAGTGCGTGGAGCTCCAGCTGCTTCACTTCGTGAGTGGATCGCAAGGGCCGACTCAAAGCTCTTGTTGGCTGTCCGAGATACATGGGGCTGGCAGGCCTTGGATGAGTCCCAGGTTTCTGGCTTGATCCGTGTTTCGCCCTCCGTTGCACGTGCTCTTCTTGCAAGAGGCGGCGAGCTGCTTGGAGGTGTTGTGTGGTCCTTTACTCCTTTGGATTGGACCAAGCTCCACCTGCAGGTTCCTGTCAATCTGTACCAGAAGCCTGATGAGGGCGAAGTCGACCTCGATTACCTCAAGCGTCTGACTTCTGCGGCTTCGAGTCTTGGCGTTCACCTTGGATTCCGCGACTTGGCCAACATTTCATGAAGTCTTATCATTTTCCATGATTTTCATCATCCTCCATCATTTTCATCATATTTCATAAGGCTTGGTCATGTTCACATTTTTTTGTGATCTTTCATGATTTTCATTATGCTTCATCAAATCTCATAGTTTTCGTCAAACTTCATATCGCTCGCATTTTTTTGTCAGATTTCATCCTTTTCCTTCATGTTTTATGTTTCCTCATGGTTTTCATGGTTTTCATCATTTTCATCCTTTGGATCAGATTTACTATTTTTCGTCATGTCTTCACTATTTTCATCTTTTTCAGCCACAAATCAAGCCTTCGCCTAAGACGTGATAAAGAACAAAAACGAAAAATCAAAAAAACCTACCAAAATGACTTTGCGTCCTCAACCTAATTACTAAGTCCCCCTGACGCTCCGAGTAAAGAGTGAGGCGAAGACTTGGAGGCCGCCGAGCGAAGTGCTGAGGGTGGCGAGGCGGGGGCCAAAGGATCTCAAGGCTTAACTACCGTGGCGAAATTGGCTTAGGGTTTTGGGCTAGGGAGGATTGCCATGTAGTTTAGGGTCTTAAGCTTGGGGTTTTATGGTTTAGGGATACAGGGGCCTAAGTAAGCGACTAGAATAGTGCAGAATCCAAAGGACAACACAGCAAAATCGAACATGACATGCAAACTTGCATTTTAACGGTCTTTGGTGATGTAATGGAGCACCAGCTGAAACCAGCTTAAAAGATGTAGATTCATATACTTGCGCCGTCTCGGAGGATCAAATGGACAAGAAGATGGAAAATGGTAGATGTCTATGGGGATTCTCATTGGACCCTTAACCCTAAACCCTAAACCCTAAAAACATGATCTTAGAGAATCAAATGGGAAAGGGGAGGCAAATGGAAACTAGATCTGTGCATATCGTTTAGGTTCGTCTGGGGGTTTACAATAATCGCCCCGAATAACTAGCAGGAACTGGAGAAACAAATGGAAAGGACAGTCCAAAGGAAAATGAAACACAACTTGGGAGTATGTGGTTGTTTATAGGTGTTAAGGTGTTCAATGCGCGCAGCTCAGGGTTGAGCCCTAAACCCAAAACCCGTAACTTTGAGGGTTCAGTGTTCAAAGCTCAAAGTTCAGAGTTTCGGGCTTCGGAGGCTTTAGGGGCGTAGGGTGTAAGGTTAGAGATGTAGGGTTCAGGGTTTTGGGTTCAAGATTTAGGATTTATGGTTCACGGGCCAGTGTTTAAGATTCAGGACTCGGGGTTCAGGGTTCAGTGCTTTGGGTCGGGGGCGAAGGTTTGGAACCACAAATCGGCCGCCTGCAAACCAATCCCCTCCCAAAACAGTAGCTCCTGAATACCATCGAATAAAGTACCATTTCATATGATGGGGGCTTCATTAATTATTAGTGGGTGAGCGGATGTTATTGCTGGGGCGGGGAAGCCCTAAACCCTACACCCCTAAACGCTGGGGACTATAGTCTCGCAGTTCACAGGTAGTTTGGGTGAGTGTAGGCAGGGCCGAGGATAGGCAGTGTAGTTCGAGGTGTGGGGGGCAATTGTTTTAAACCTATCAAGGTATGGCTATTTGAGAACAACGGAAATCAAAGAACATTGAGATGACTACATTTAATATTTATGTAAGATTGAAGCATGCCGCAGAAGCCTGCGAAACCTGAGCTTCTAGCCCCACGCGTCTTCGAACCTAAAGCCAGCACGACGAAGGCCCTAAGTTAGACCATTTTGGAGTCGTAGACCTTGAGGCAGTGGACATCTTCCTCTCCTTATTGGCAGCCTGGCGCATTGCGCATCCCACAGAACCGCCAAGCTGCCGCATGCGAGTGCTCCCTGCCTCATTGGGGTTATATTGGGATAATGGAAAAGAAAATGGAAACTACCATAGCATATAGGGGTATATTGGGGTTATATTGGGATGAGGTTTGGGACTTGGATCCCTCTGTCTGGAAAATTTGGAGTTGGGGATTTAGGTTCAGGGGGTTGAAAAAGTAGGGATCTAGCAGCTCGGATTTACAGCTTAGGGCGTTGGGTGAGAACGCGTTTGTCGAGGTAAGGACACACAAGCCCAGTCTGCCAATCAGGAAGATTTGCTTAACAGGGAATTAGGTCTGGCCGCGCTGTAATCGTCGGACAGGAAACATTTTCTCATGTATTAACCGACAGGATTTGGACGTTATCCTGCAAAACCCTCTTGTTTCACTTAGATAGGTACCGAGTGCGGTAAGAAGCCTTTGCCAGGGGGGAACCAACCTGCTCATTGTGACCTTTCTGAAAGCAAGCTTTGGTTCGTAGGCCGCGGCTTTAAGTTCTTTCAGGGTGGCGAAGAACCGAAGAAATGCACAGAAATCCTCCTCTCCCTGGAAGGTTGCATGAGTCACTTTGCCGGGACAGTATGTGGATCCTAAATGGAACGAAGCTGCGCTGGACTAAGCATCCGCTCCCCACCGTGTGGGAGTCGTGGATGCAGGAGTGTGGGGACTTTCTTAAAGCGAGGGCGTCAGTTGTCATGGCACCCCTATTAAACTGGGAATTGTGTGTGTGTGTGTAGGAAGTGGTCCCACAGTGGTCTTATCTCAGGCTTGTGAAGTAATGTATAGGTTAGCTGGTTTGCAAGTGTTTTTCCATCCATTCAACTACGGGTGCTTGATTGGGAGTCGGAGAGTGAATGCATGTATTGTCAGGGGGCTTGTAAAGGCTGCTGCATTACATCTGTTTTCCGAAAGCAATTACGTTCTTTCCATGTCTCCTATTACGGTTCGGCGTTTTGGGGATGTATACCAAAAAGGCGTCCAACCTAAGCAAAGCTGTCGGAACCCTAAACCTTGCCTGAATTCCTAGCGCTCCTGCAGGAATTAGCTTCGCGCCAGCTGGACAAGGCTCGGGGCTTTCTGCTTGAGAAGCCCCCCTTGGGTTGTTTTGGGTTTAGGGAGTTAAGGGTTGAGGGCTAAAAGGGGCCTCCCAGGGAGTTCTCACACTATGCGGTGAGTTGCGGAAGGGCTGTTTGAGAGTACCGCCTAGACGCGAAAATGCGCACCCAGGAGTTTTTAAAATTTTCACACCAAAAGCCCACAACCAGAAAGCACCCAACCCCTACAGAAGGAGCACAGCCTCAGATTCTTTCAGGCGCAGTGCATGCGTTTCGGGACGGACTTCGTGAAAGAGGGCTGGAACCCCGCTGTCTTCAGCTGGTCTGTGGTGGAGCCCGAGCAACTGCCACTGGGCTAAGGCTGAAGGCTAAGGGTCATAGGGTTGACGCAGTTTCTCGGGTTTGTAGTGTTCATAGAGTGTACAGGATTGTTGGGCTTATAGGGTTATGGGGATTATAGGGGTTGCGGCGTGTCTCGGGCTTCAAGGAAATATACATATATGTATATATATATCTCTGTATTTAAGAGGATTGATGGGGTTGGTAGGGTTTGAAGGGGTTCAGGGCCGGGCGTTAGGGTACTGGAAAGATTTGGGGATATGGGATAAGGATTAATCGTTCATGGTTGAGGGTTTTCAACTGGCTGGAAAATCGTCATCAGAAAGGCAGGACAAGAGCATGATAATCGTAGTCTATTGCACTCTTTGCAAAGAAGCTGCCAAACACTTGCAGCCAAGGGTATTGCTAGTAGTCAGACAGTCAGCAGTGCTTGTGATGGTTGTAATGATTCTGACAAGGAGAAATTCGTATCAAGGGGCATAGTGACCAGGCATAGGGTAGGTGGTTCTGAGAACAGAACATCAGCGCCAGATACTTGGTAGTTTCCATAAACAGGGGCATCCCAATATGAATCCCAAAAGCATTAGAACCTATTGGGGACACCTAATTTCCAGAAGCCCCCACTTCCCGACAGGGTATGCCCAAACCGACATTGGCCCTTCTCAGGGCAATGAGGGGATTTAAATTAGCCCGGCCCTTAAAATTAGCACAATATTCTAGTCATATGAGAGTTGTAGGGTCCTTAAAACAGGATTTAGCGCAATCTTCCAGTCATATGATAATAGTTTTCGGGCCAAGGTATCTAAAATCCCCTCATTTCGGGGAGGGCCGGCCCCTCAAAAGATTGATGCTTCCTATGCAGGAAGCTACTCTTGCGTGACACTGACTTCGTCGCGGTGTTGGCTGGGCTTCACCTGGACTACAATGCGCCCACGGCCAGGCATCTTGGGGTGCGATACAGGGAGATCCTTAAGGACCCTAGGGATACATGGTCGGGCGAGAAATTCCCCCTCCCTTGCTGTGGTGTGGTTGGGGGTTGGGAACATCCCTCAGTATGGTGGCCATCTTCTAGGTTTTACCCTGGGATGGGATAATTACCCGCCCCTCCCCGCGATCTGGTTCTTGTGCTTTGAGCCAAGGTTTATCGAGGGCTTACACTGTTTGCAGAGGGGTTTTACGTGGAGGGTCAGGGGGACTTAGTAAGTAGGTTAATGACCCCTACTTGTAGAATCCACATAGGAACTCCACTTATCCCCATTCTTAACCTACTTACTAAGTCCCCCTGACCTTCCCAGTAAGCTGTCCCCCCCCCCCCCCCTGTGCTCATGTGGCCAGTTGTCTCGGTCTTGGAGGGTTGTGGTTTGGTTTTGTTTTCAAAGAAGCTTTATACAACATGAGGACCTCGCAGAGACTGTGGGTACATCAATGAGGTGTTAAAATCGACGACAGTTGCTGGATCGCAATGAGGACCACACCGAACAGTTGGTGCGATCGAGACCCAACGAAAGCAGGAGAGGCTAAAAGTCACGACAGTTACGAGGATTTCGTGGGGCCGCATATAGAGGTTATGGGGGGAATATGGGGTTCTTCATTATGGGTTAGATAATATGAGGATCATTTTGAGAAATGGCAAGGCCGAAGATGCTTGGGCTAGGCCCTCACCCGGCAATAGCGGCATCATGGGAATATCTAGGGGTTCTAGCATGATTACCATTATCCCTTGTGGTCACTGCGAGTCGGTGAGGGCCCAGCCTAAGCTGTCTTATTCAAGAAGGGCCACATCAGGACCCTTCTGCGGGGCCCGAGGGACTCCCTATGTCAAACAATCAGTTGGCAGGTGCCCAGGCAGCCTTTTCATCAAGTAGGGGCAAAGAAATTGGAAACTACCATGTAGAGTGTAGAGAATGCTCCTTTATACCCAAAACCCTAAAACCTCAAAATCCTAAACCCTTAACCCTACAACCCTAAACCCAAAGCCTAAAACCCTAAGCCCTAACCCCTTCTCTGTCATGTCTTCTGCGCAGCTAAGAGGGCCTGAGCGTGCTTGAGGTAGGAGGCCGAGGGTCTGTAGGCCTCCCAGGAGGGCATTGCTTCAGCCCGCAAGCGCCAAAGATCCGGTGAGTAGTGATTAGGGGGTTTAGGGTTTAGGGGGGTTTAGGGTTTAGGGTTTAGGGGGGTTTAGGGTTTAGGGTTTAGGGATACCATGGTACCCAATATATTGAATAAGATGATATCCTTCTCTTGGTTATAGGACTTAAGATAGGGAATCTCATCTTACTAGGTTCGACCACCAAGAAGAAATGCTACTCAGGTGAGCCCTTGCAGCCCCAGATTGAAGCCTTTCAATGATCTTGATCTTAAATCGGGGTTCCCGCGGGAGCCTCTGCTGCCCTTCTCGAAAGACGGTCAGAAACTTTGGAAGGAACATATGTATATATGTATATATTTATATATATATGATGTATAGCAGGAATTATATGGAAGTAGGAACCTTAAGTTTCAAGGTAGTTATATGACTTTTAGGAAAGAAGAAGAAGAAGAAGCGCGGACCAAACATGGAGGGCAGATACTACCCGGGGGGGGGGGTGGGAGGCAGAACGCACACTGCACCACCCTGCATCATATGAGCAGTATTTTATTCGGGGATACTATGGTACCCAATATAGAGTAAGATTATATCCTCCTTTTGGGTATAGTATTTTTTACAAGGATTATAATCTTACTAGGTTCAACCACCAAAACAAACGCTACTCATATTGTATCCTACGGATCCTCCATAAGGATGGTATCATACTGTGATCATTGGGATCCTCCTTCAGGAGGATATAGGAGTTTCTGTAGACAAGGGGTCCCAAAATGGATCCCAATGTGTCAGAATCCTTATTATTGGGCCTCCTGCGCAGGGTCCGTAAGTCTAGGAAATCCCTCTATACGGAACACTTTGATAGGCTTTCAATGAGAGAGGCGCTTGCAGATCGCTGGCCGTGAGATTCGTTTGGAGCGAATTCAAAGCCTCACACACATCCGCGCGCCTGGGGCAGACGAAACATGAGCGTTTCCTCCAAAATAGGAGCCCTTGGAGACTCAAGGGATATACTGGGAATGAGAGGAAGTTGACAATAAGGCTTATGTTTCGATGCGCACGGTTGCAACTCACCAAACTGAAAGTTCTCCTTCCCTAAGCTGGTTGATCAAGGCCCATGCAACTGCAGGACTTTTAGACCTGAGAATGGGTTTGAGGTTTAAGGTTTAGAGTTTAGGGTTTAGGGATAACAAGGAGGTTGTAGGGGCTGTGTTTTGATGCGTAGGGTTGCGCCTGTGCTGGCGTGGAAAGTTGACACGTCAAGGGTATGTAGCCTGGGCGTGGAAGGTGACAAGGCGATATTTGCGGACATAACCATTTGACCTATCTTCTAAACTCCCTAAAGGGGGTTATATAGCACTCCCCCATATAATCCCCTATAGGGAGTATATGGGGGAGTATTAAATGGTTTTTTTAAGGGGGATACTAGGGGTTCCGACTATAGCTCATGTTAGGGCTTGGTATCAAAGGCCTAAAATCCGTGGGTTTAGAGTCCTACTTGAAAAGGGCGTCCGAGCCCTGTCCTTGCCAAACTCCAAACCCTAAATCCTTCGATTTAGGACTAAAAATCCACTCGAAGCTCACATCCCCTACGTTGCTACACGCTCGAAGCTAGCTTGGGCCTCCTCACAGGGCCAGTCCAAGACTTACATCCGGTGAGCAAATTCTGCAACTGAGATGCCCCAACTTCTGTAACGGTTGAGGGTATAGAGGGTGGTGCAAGATTTGCTAAACCAGAGTAGCTACAGGCGCTTTGCGGGGGCTAGTTGTTGCTTTGGACTCCTACTTGGTGGGAACCCTAAACCCCAAAGCTATTGAGAAGCCTGGCAACTGAGGCGCTACGAAGGGCATCCACTGTTGACCTCCAGCGCCTCAGTCAGGTGTCATGAGTGCAGGATTGTCTTGCAATTACCTAGAGCATAGAAATAGTAATAGTGGTAGTAGGAGTCATTATGACAATAAGATTAAAAGCAAGGGTAAAGCAATATAAGTAGTAATAGTATGTGTAAACATAGTACCTGACAGTACAATCTTGCATCAACATTTGGGATCTTTTCTTTTTGCCTTTTGAGCACTGGATTTCCGTATACATCCTATCTATATATACATATCGAGAAAGGATCCAATTTCCTTGCCGGGTGGTGAACGGCACAAACCAGACCAAGGCTTTTTCCTTTAGAGGGCAATCGGGACGAAGCATCGTTGCTATAAGAATCCATGTGGGCTATAGTCTAAACTCCTAGTATCCACCTTGAGAACGCCTGTTGTAGTCCCCTATATAATCCCTTATATAAGCACCTTTCAGCAGTTTAGACCATGGCTCCTGTGCTTCCTGTATGAGCTCAGATTTAGGGTCAAGGGCTTACGGTTAAAACCCTAAACCCTAAAAAAAGTTTGGGGTTCAGGGTTAACGCGGATGCGGTTTTTCGCTTCGGGGTTCCGGGTCCCGGGATTTGTGATCTATAGTGATTACTTCGACCTGAAAAGTAGGTAAAATCGTGGCCCCAAACCCGTAGAAGGAGCCCAAAAAGCTATCATTCTACATCTTTTTGGGGATACGTAGGCATACGAGTTTAGGACCGTAGGAGTAAAGGAGGAGAGGCTCAGAGGATGGTCGTTGATTGTGATTTAGGTTAGGTGGAACCCCCCACCCA